TAGGGAAGCTACCGCACGTTTGCAATACCATGACCTAAAGACTCTGCCAGAGCAAGTGTTGCTGGGTATGAGACGGGGGTACGAAGAGGAGCGTGCTGGGAGCGTTTGATTGGCTGTGGATGTTGCTATCCCAACCCTGATTGGACAATTCGGAAATCATGCTGCTGAAAGCAGAACCCTTTGAACTGTGAGACAGCAGCTGAATACACAGGTCTCTGTGTGTGACGGAAACAAGCGTGCACGTATGCAGCCTATGAAACCTTACACACTTGCGGTTTCATACTGTACTTACCCATGATTCAAAGCAATGACGAACACACACATGCACAGATTCATAGTTGATTCAGCGTGAGCGTTCGGGTACGGACAATTGGAGTGTGCGTTAAGCATGGATGAACAGCCTACAGAGACGTTCCCAATTCTCGGTAGCCAATCGCAGTGCAGCGGCCCGTGCCCCGCGCCAAAAAACACAATCTGACACTTCTGTCACGCACATGGGCCATGCTCTTCATCATGCTTCTCTACCCAAACTCCTGCAGGGTCATGAAACACAACCTAAAAATGCCAAACGGAACACGGAGGAATGTTGCTGAAATGTTGCTTAAATCTTACCTAGTGCATATTTAAATGTCAATACAGGTGAGCAAGTTTCATTGCCAAAAAACACAATCTGACGCTTCTGTCACGCACATGGGCCATGCTCTTCTTCATGCTTCTCTACCCAAACTCCTGCAGGGTCATGAAACACAACCTAAAAATGCCAAACGGAACACGGAGGAATGTTGCTGAAATGTTGCTTAAATCTTACCTAGTGCATATTTAAATGTCAATACAGGTGAGCAAGTTTCATACATTCAGAAGACATGTTCTCACTTGATTCTATAAGAGTATGTGTGTGTTTATTATAGATGGGTCATGATGGTCGACTAGTCTGTCTGTATATGTGTTTCTCAACTAAGGGGTTGGGGCCCACTTGGGATATATGAGGGAATTTCAAAAGTTGTGATTTTTTTACCTGAAAAAAATCTCGAAAGTGAATCAAATCCTAAACATTCATGTCCATTTTTTTAATTATTGTTCTTATGTCAAGCTCTAAAGTATTTTTTGGGTAGAAGTTGCTAAAACACTCTCATATCTAAACTGATACTTTTCAAAGAACCACCGCTTCAACAATACATTTCCAGACAATTACAGTCAGACTTCAAATTGTTTGTTCTGATCATTAAATCTGTTCTGAGCAAAGTCTCTTATTATACGTCATTTGTAGGCTTTTTGGGAGGACTATGATAGTTTTGTGCAGTAAAAGGTTATATTTTTTAGCCTGTATGTTTGTTGCCCATCTATAATTTATCACAATAAAAGGCTGCAAGTTCTTGCTTGCAGTCTACACTATTTTTTAAAACCTGGTCTATGTATACAAAACCTTTTTAAGATGAAGTGTCAAGTTAAAAATGCTTCAGCTTTAAAAAAACGTGTCTTGAGACCTCTGCTTTGTGTTCCATTCTATTGCACTCTGTCTACCTGTTTTCTAACGCAAGAATGGATCTTATGCAAACACACCCCCTAGAAACACATCAGATCGGGTTGGGTAGACATCATCCTAAGCCAGTCTAATTATACAAAATATAAAAGGGATAGTTTATTAAAAAAATTAATTGTATCATCATTTACTCAATCTCACATTGATCCAAATCCATATTTTTTATTCTGTGGAACACAAAAGAAAATATTTTGACAAAATGAAAGTCAATATTGTTTGGACCCCAACGTTCTTCAAAATATCTTCTTTTGTGTTCTGCAGAGTAAATGATGACAGACTTCAATTTTTCAGTGAACTACACCTTTAAGATCAGCTAGTCAATCAGTTGTTCAGATAACCCATAGACTAGTCAATTGTGAAAATATATATCTGCACATACCTTGCATTCTTATAGGTAAAAGAAAACAGAGCAAGTTAGATGTTTAATTACATTTGAAGGCCATTTCTGACAACTAACCCTGGCTCCTAGGAGTAATATTCTGCTCTTTACTTTCTGGGGCATTCTGGCTGACAGGGTGACGGTGTCCCGGGCGACTTTTTAAAGTTCAGACACCTTCAGAACATGATGTGAATTAGACAGCTGGCACAGAACCGAACACACAGGGTAATCATGTCAGCTCAAACCGATTATTTGACACATGAAAGATTCAAAGAAAATGACTCTGTCGTCCTTAAACCGCGCTCTGACAGTTTTAGGGGCGTATCGTCAACTGGCAGATATACAGACATGCATTACTGATCCCCAAAGGGAATTTGTACACGTTCCAGGAGGAAAACATACAAACAAGAAGTTATTAGAGGGCCTTACTGAACGAACCATAGATGTCATATAAAGTATTAAAGCAGAGACTGTAGTCCCACAGTCCAGCTGACGAAGGAGAGCTGAAGAGTTGTGTGTGTGCACTTCAGGTCCTCAGGGTCAGGCTTTATGAATGTTTCAGAGGAGTGTCTCTTCCTCTCTTCTCTCTCTGTTTCAGGGTGACTGAACACAGAGAGCCAAACAACAGCTTCATGCTGCAGCCACACAGTTACATCAGACAGATAGACAGCAGTGGCGGCTCGTGGGTTTTAAAATAGAGGAAGCACACTAATTGTATTGGTCTGGGATCCCTGCCGATTATTATTATTATTATTAAAATGAAAGTCAATATTGTTTGGACCCCAACGTTCTTCAAAATATCTTCTTTTGTGTTCTGCAGAGTAAATGATGACAGACTTCAATTTTTCAGTGAACTACACCTTTAAGATCAGCTAGTCAATCAGTTGTTCAGATAACCCATAGACTAGTCAATTGTGAAAATATATATCTGCACATACCTTGCATTCTTATAGGTAAAAGAAAACAGAGCAAGTTAGATGTTTAATTACATTTGAAGGCCATTTCTGACAACTAACCCTGGCTCCTAGGAGTAATATTCTGCTCTTTACTTTCTGGGGCATTCTGGCTGACAGGGTGACGGTGTCCCGGGCGACTTTTTAAAGTTCAGACACCTTCAGAACATGATGTGAATTAGACAGCTGGCACAGAACCGAACACACAGGGTAATCATGTCAGCTCAAACCGATTATTTGACACATGAAAGATTCAAAGAAAATGACTCTGTCGTCCTTAAACCGCGCTCTGACAGTTTTAGGGGCGTATCGTCAACTGGCAGATATACAGACATGCATTACTGATCCCCAAAGGGAATTTGTACACGTTCCAGGAGGAAAACATACAAACAAGAAGTTATTAGAGGGCCTTACTGAACGAACCATAGATGTCATATAAAGTATTAAAGCAGAGACTGTAGTCCCACAGTCCAGCTGACGAAGGAGAGCTGAAGAGTTGTGTGTGTGCACTTCAGGTCCTCAGGGTCAGGCTTTATGAATGTTTCAGAGGAGTGTCTCTTCCTCTCTTCTCTCTCTGTTTCAGGGTGACTGAACACAGAGAGCCAAACAACAGCTTCATGCTGCAGCCACACAGTTACATCAGACAGATAGACAGCAGTGGCGGCTCGTGGGTTTTAAAATAGAGGAAGCACACTAATTGTATTGGTCTGGGATCCCTGCCGATTATTATTATTATTATTATTATTATTATTATTTGCTTAACCACTTTAAAATGGCTTTTTGGTTGCTTTTAGTCAGAAAACGTAAAGAACGTAAAGTACATACAGCAAGATAATATAATTTCACTTACCTGGCCTATCACTTGAAGCAAACATCCATCCCTTCTTAAAAGT